AGGGATAGGTATATCAATAAAGAAATTCAACATTCTCAAAAATATCTACCAAAACCTGTTTTATGTGATATGTAAAGGTCGTTCTAAGTACTAATATTGATCAACCTATGTTGCTTCAAACTCAGATACCAAAGACAGCTCAAGCACATTATTATCAATTTAATACAACTCATGTGTATGTAAAGTCAATTAATAATAAAAGAATGGTTTTAATTTGTAAAAAAGAAGAGGCAATTTTATTTTGAAAGAAAATACATGGAAAAAATAAGTAGCCTAATTAAGTGAAATTTCTAATTCAAATCCCATGATAATTATTCTTCTTGCGTCATTGCAATATACATACAATGATATAATAATTCTTTATTCATCCCCGGGACACATATTTTTACATGGTTGGAACTTTTGATAACTCTCTACTTTATCATTATCATTATTGCTTGCTTATATCAAATGTTTTTACTTACGTCAAATGGTTTTACTTATGTCAAATGGTTTTACTTACGTCAAATGGTTTTACTTTCGTCAAAATGGTCCCGGTGAGAACCGCCTTTAGTCAATATTTTAGTTATGTCAATGGCTAAAGTCAAAAGTTTCATCATACATCATTAGCTCACAATGTTAATTTAACATAGTTATTTACCTTTTTGAATTCCTCTGACGAATTTAGATATTGCTTATATGAATAGTTCTTTAATTAGTTGAGCCAGACCACATAATTTGCCAATCTATTGAAAAATTCAGCAATCCATCTAATTTATGAATATTTTGAAAGTAACTATGAAATATATCACATCAATCATCCAATTATAATCAAAATGAGCGGTGGTTCCAAGTATTCATATCAGCCGATTTAGTTTTTTGGGCCTTTTTTCAAACCTTATGTCTGTCTTATTGTGTCTTGATGTTAAACACGAGTATTTTTAATGTGTAAACTGGTCAGTAGAATGATAATTAACCCTAAAGAAAATTATTTGCTCCGCTAAAAAAACCACTTTACTATTCAACAACCCGTCAAACCAAAGAGCCCACCTCGAAACCAATGGGTTTTTGCTAGTATAAAGTATTCATAATATTATGATCATACTGTACTGAATTTTGGGGGTCAAACAAAATCAGCGCATGTGATCAAATAAAATAATAAAATAATTGAGAAATGCTAAAGATGAGTATGTTAACAATATATATTCATTTATTTTGAAGAAAAAAGAAAGATATTACAGAAGAAACTCGTGTTTTTTTAAATTGTGATTTAAACGTTCTTTATATACAACAGTATAGAATTCAACGAGCTAGGATCTTTAATACAGAATATTTTACTAAAAGGTCAGCAGAAACATAGATAATATCTTGAGAAGCCCTCTCTTAATTTTTTATACTTAGTGACGTCATTAAAATTTTCATGAACTTGGAGGCTTTTCCAGCTTGATATATAGATCTATTAGTTTTTGCAAACTATCATCAACCTTTTCTATATTATCATATTTTTATTTCTTTGATAATTTATTATTATTATTGTCATTATTGTTGTTGTCATCATAATTATTAATTATATTAATGTCATTATCGTTGTTGTAATTTTGATCTTTGTTACAGGTATCTATTCTTGCAATTTCATTTTCGTTTGGCTTTCAACTATTTCTACGTAAAAAGCTATTATTATTATATATATTAATATAAATTATAATATTAAGCAAATAGGCTTTTATTTTAAATGTTTCAAAAAAATAAAACATTGGCTATTTACATCATTCTTTGAAACTTTCTAGACGTCCATTATCGTTTAATTGAGCTGAATATTTGTTCTTATTCATGTCAAAAGTAATGCTCTTGAGTTTTTTTGTTCAAATTGCTGTTTATACATTTTTCAAAACAAAAACAAAAAAGAAGTAATGTTTTTTCAAAATTCCATTGGGTAAAATTCATAAATAATTGGTATTTCTGAGGAAATGAATGACCAGTCATGATTAGAGCTTATTGGTCAATTCAAATTAGCCAATCCCCATCAGAGTTTCATATCCAAACACCCCACCCCAAAATTTTAATTATAAATTTCAATTTCATGATTTTATGATGACAATTTTTATTTCTGCCCTTTCACTTCCCAGACCTTCTATACAATTGGATTCAGATTCAATTACCACATCGGAAACTATAATAGCAGTACCCATAATCTTTGCCTGCTTTAATTAGTTCTAACCAGCCACAAAAAAAAAGATGCACAATCAACTAGAATGTGGAAAGAGCTAGAGATCATTATAATAGGTGAACATTATGAGTTTGCTAAATGTAAAGTTTGTTCCAACAACAAAAGAGAGAAAACGTTTAAACATAATAACTCTACATGTATGTAATCTTTCACATAATAATTTTCAAGTTGAAATTTTTATTATGAATTTAAATAAAAAAATGCATTGAAGTTTTAAATTTAAATTTATATAATTGATTCAAATCATTCAAATCGTTAATGTTATGAATTGTTCAAATTGCTGATGGTTTAAATCATTCAAATCATTGATGGTTTAAATTGAATCATTGAATATTTAAATCAAAATATTTTTTTGACTATGATTCAAGTTGGTTCGAACCAGTTCATAAATAAGCTCTAGTCATGATGTTCCTGATTTCTAACAAACTCATTGGCCAGTTAACAAATATCAGCGGAAATGAATGACCAGTCATGATGTTTCTGATTTCTAACAAATGAATAAAATTTATTAGATGGAAATAAATGATCAACCAGATTTCTAGTAAATGGATGAAGTTTATATGAAGTTCAGAAAACTTGGTTGTATTTAAATGCAACTTTCTATATATTAATATGTTAATTTATATTGGTTTATTGGTTGAAATTAAATATTATAAGAATGGGAAATTAAACTTCTTGTCCAGTAAAGACCCATTGGGAGAATGTTATCCATGAACAGAAAAAAGTATGTCAGGTCTTAAATATCATTGTTTTTCTTTTATTAATCATATTAAGATACTACAAACCTAGATCAATATGCAATTAGTTTGATGTGAAACACACCTATATTCTTGGAAGTCTTGACCTCCTAGATAAAGCTGGGAAATATAATATTGACGATTTATCCTCAGAAGAATTTTCAAATTCCTTTCCTGTTAATACAACACCTGCATCCAAACATGCTCTTGATGGTTCTAACTCAGGGGAACAAGAAGGTTGGTACAGATTGTAACTTATATATAATAGAAAAAACATTATTTTAATTTTTTGCTTGAATATTTATGTATACAGACCAAAACTGGTGAAAATTGGTTGAAGAAACTGTTATTCAAGAAAATATTTTGCATTCAATTGCCAAAACCACTAATACATTCAGAAATGTTGAATTTCTTGCATATTATAAGAAACTCAAGAAAATATGGAGAACCTGTGAAACAGGTTCAAATTACTATGTAATAGATATGAAAAATCAAGAAATATTAATGAAGTACATAATCTTTTGGATGTGGAAGAATTGAAATTACTACATGATAGGCTTTCTTCAGAAAGTGAGGATAAATATTTAAGTAAAAAGTCGCTTCAATATTTATCATTGTTTGATCAGAATAGCGAAGCTTATTCAGATAGTGAAGAGGTCAAAGATGAAATTATTTCAGAGATGAAAAAAGAAGTCTGCAATTTGGATGGGCTAATAGCAAAATTTCAATATCTATCTCATGCTCTTCCTATCTCACTAAAACAATATAATGAATTATTATATCCAGAAATTTATATCATTAAAAGTATAGCAAGCCATCTAAGCACAATTACAAAGATGGAAAGAATTACTGATAACACTATGGAAAGATCATGGACAGCCATGTACTTTTTTCACTTTAATCATTTGATGATTTATCATGAATAATGCATTAATATTTTATTATCTCAGCAGTTGTATCATCAATCATGTTTTATTATCTTGCCATTGATTGTATCATTCAATAATTTAGAGAACATTCTTGTCTAATTGTGAACAATACATCAATATTTTTTTATATAATCACTTATATCATTGATTATATCATGCAGAATTGTCAATTTAACCGGTTCAAATCTTTTTTTGAACAATTTGAACTTTGAACTGTTAATTAGTTAAATAACTTGCTGATCATTTGAACTTTGCTGACAAAGTTCATTACACATATGGAAAACAGTATCGAATAAGATATTCAATTATTGAAATAGTAATGGTTGTAATAAGTCAGTAGAAGAGATTACCGAAATGAGTAAACCAATGTTAATACTGATTGTTAGAGGACCTTCTGAAAAATCTTCTGTAATCAAATGAATTTTTAAGAATTTACAAAAAAATGTGAATTATTAATTTTACCAAGTTATTATTGATTATACTATTGATTGTATTTTTAAGAAATAACGAAATCAAAAATTTTGCCTCATTTGTTAAACTGAGTAGAATCGATAATTTCAGCTCCTATTTCATCAGCTTTGCTTCTAAAAGGAATTGGTTTACTTTTTCTTTTATAAATGATAAAAAGAGAAATAAACTATTGGCACCTGAATGTGTTTTAAATTGATATATATTTATTTTAATTACAAATTAAAATGTTTCAACAATGATAATATGGATATTACAATTGATGCGATGGAAATGAGGGAAGCGAAAATGATAAAAGTGATGATGATGATGAAACAATTAGAATAGAAAGGGGTAAAGAAGAATGAAGTGGTAGTGATAATAATATTGAAAATTGTATTTAGATATTTATTTTAAAAAAATGCAATGCATAAAATGCGCATCATGCGCATGAAATTTTGAAATTTCATGCAATTTCCCATCTCTAAGTGCGACTATTAAACCAACTTTCCGTAATGATGCTGCTGAACCAAAAAAAAACAGCAGATTTTATATTGGTTGAAAGGAGTTCATGCTACAATTTGAAGATATCAGTAAGTTTGCAAATCTGAAAATCTATATGAATATTGACTAAAATAAATGAAATGCTGAAATAGTTTTTCACAGTAATAGTAGCTGTAATTAATTTTAATAGTTGCCGAAATTATATCTGAAATTATTTGAACACTTTAATCTAAGCTAAATCACATGACATAGTTATTTGATGTTCATTGAAACGATATCCGTAATTACTTTTTTTCCAAAAACAACAACCATAGTTAGGGTAGTTATAAAATTTAAAGCAGGGACCAAGGGGAGGACCACCAGGTCCAAAAGCTTACTAATGAAGAGAGAGTAAATTATTTCTTTGCATGAATAAACAGATTAAATGGATAAAGAGCAGACTATGTAAAATTTGGTTCCGTATGATGAATGATAATTATGAATGAGTTTGTGTTACTTTGATAATGACAAAATTCAGACAAAATTCAGATCATTTTCTAAATTTTTTTTCTCTAATCAAATAAATTAATAAAAAATGTTGGGAGGAAAACGATTTTTATTAAATTCCAAATCTACCCAATCCATTTTTAAAAAACTTGCTTCAACAACAACAAATATACCATCGTATAAAGTTGTGGTTATCGGTACGTATACACATTTAAAAGTGGTTTTATTTATTTTATGTATTGATTTTTTGTTATTTTATTTAAGGCGGTGGGACAGCTGGTTTAGCAGGTAATTATTATTTATTATCTTATCATACCTGCATATTTAAATTAAAAAATTTATTTATTAATAATATATTTATTTATTTAAGTTTCTTCAACCATATCTGAAAAGCTTGGTCAAAATCAAGTCGCTATTATAGAACCTTCAAAAGTTCACTATGTAAAACTTCTACCTATATATATTATGTTTTGTTTATTTTCATCATCATCATTCATTGACATAATATTCATGAAATCCAATGTCTCTTCAAAAAAATATAATTTATTTAATTAGTATCAACCAATTTGGACATTTGTTGGTGCTGGTATTAAACCTTTTTCGGATTCTGTTAAACCTACTGAAGCGGTAATTCCAAAAAAAGCAGCATGGATTCAAAAAAAAGCCCAAAAAGTAGACCCTGATAATAATTGTGTTTATTTAGAAGATGGTCAACAAGTAAGTTAAAGAATACAAACCAAATAGAATAATATATGTATATATATATATATCAAAGTATTAAATACATCTTTAAAATAAAATTTATACTTTAGTTAAAGTATGATTTTTTGGTAGTAGCACCAGGTATTAAAATCAACTGGGATAAAATTAAAGGATTACCAGAGACGATTGGTAAAAATGGTGTTACAAGCAATTATTTAGATACCACTGTTGAAAACACCTGGGAATTACTTAAAAAATTTCGAGGCGGAAATGCTATTTTCACAATGCCAACTACACCCATCAAGGTTTGATTTAAATAATAATAATAATATTTTTTGTTTTATTTATAAAATTATGCTTAATTAATATATGTATGTATGTGTAGTGCCCAGGTGCAGCAATAAAAATAGCATATCTTGCTGAAGATCATTTTACAAAAAAGCATATAAGAGAAAAAACTAATGTGATTTACAATACCGGGATGGGGAAAATATTCAGTATTGAGAAATATGCGAATTCTCTTAACAGAGTTGCTAAAGAACGTAATATAAAAGTAAACACCTCGACTAATTTGATAGAAGTTCGTGGTGACAAAAAAGAAGCTGTATTTAAAAATGTTGGCACCGGTGAAGAGAACACCATCCAATACGATTTGTTACACGTAGTTCCACCTATGGGCCCGCCATCATTTATCGCTGAATCAAAACTTGGTAATGCTGGTGGTTGGGTGGATGTGGATCAGTATACTTTACAACATGTAAAATATCCAAACATTTTCTCACTTGGCGATGCATCATCTGCTCCCACTTCAAAAACTGCTGCTGCTATTGCTGCTCAATCAGCTGTAGTCAAAAAAAATCTGTTAGACCTGATTGCTGGCAAATTTAATACTGGCGAAGCTTCTAGATACGATGGTTATGCTAGTTGTCCATTATTAGTCGGCAGAGATAAGTTGATATTAGCAGAATTTAGTGGATACACTGCAACTCCTATGGAAACTTTTCCTTTTGATCAAGGCAAGGAAAGATTTTCAACATATTGGGTTACTAAAGAGGTAAATTGTTATTATTGTTTTGTTAAAAGAAAATTTCAAGAATTTGAATTTATTGTATTAAGAATACTTATTTATATATAGATCCTGCCTGAAATTTATTGGAAAGGTCTTTTGAAGGGAACATGGACAGGTCCTCAACGAATTAGAAAATTATTTTCCTATTTACCATAAAATAAAAGAATACATCATTTATTTATTCATTTGAAATTATGTAATACAATGTCACGTGACATATGTAATTTAATAATAATTAATTGTCCAACTTTTTATTTATAATAAACTTTTTTTATAACAATCAATAATAATAATGAGTGATGATAATTTTGATGAAACAGATTTTTCTGATAATGAAATACTTTTAGATAACGACCCACCAAAATCAGCTCTTGATATTTTTCCTGTTGAGATATGGAGTCAAATAATATTTTACGCTTGTGAAATTCCAACTCTAACTTCGCTAATGCTTGCTTGTGCGCCGTTAAGGAAATTGTCAAGAGAACCCTTGGCAAGGAAAATGGTTGAGACGTCACCATTGGATAAGCTTTATTCATTAACCAAAAAAAATCATCAAGATTTGAATGATTTATACGAAATAGTGTTTAAAATGCATAAATATATCGACAAAGTGGTCATTGATGAGAATGTAATGCCGCAAAAATGGACTGACGACGTTTTTGAATGGGATGGTTATGACGAAAATTTGGATGAGTGGGTAAATCAAGAAAGATTTCGAAAAGAAGTTGGTCGTAAAGGTAAAGCGAGAACAAAAGCTCATATCGAATGGGAAATTCGTGTGGAAAATGATACAAAATGCATTAAAAAAGAATTAGCAAAGTGTTGGGCTATATCTGGTAAAATGTTTCCATTTAGGTAGGCACATTATCAAGAAAAAACTTCCTTTCCCATAATATATATTTGATTTTTATAAAAAAAAATTTTTTTTTTTTGAGTACAGTCATACTGAAAATAGAGAGTGGAAAAAAAGACGTCAAGAAAAATCACATTTTGAGAATAGTTCATCATCATTGCCACCAAAGGAGAATAACAAAATTGAAAAGGAAGATACAGATAATAATAATATTAATAACAATACCAAAAATAAAAACAACAACAGCAATAATAATAAAAGTTTACAAACAAAAAAAAATAAAAATGTATTAACATCAACGAACTCCAATTATAAAATAAAACAAAAACGTCAAAATTCAACTGATTCAACTAGTAAAAAAATCAACAAAAATGGCAATAACGATGCTTGGAAATTTAGTCATGAAGTTAGAAATCAAAGTAAACCACATAGACCTAATATAGGTAAAGGAGAAGAAGAATTTAATCATAAAATATTAACATCGCACGTCAAGCCAAGTCATTTTAATTCTGGAAGAGATTTTGAAGGTTTAACAAATGATCTTATAATAACGGCAATGATTAAGGCTTTAAAAAAATTTTATCACAGTGAAGAAAAAGTATTGAAATTTCCCAAGGAATTAAATGGTTATCAAAGAAAGCAATTACATCGTCAAGCTGATTTACTCGACTTGAAAAGTATGAGTTTTGGTGAAGGCGACGGAAGATTTTTGGTAGTTATGCGATATGACGTTGAAATATTTCATTAAATTTTATGAGAATTTATTTATTTTTTTATTGTACAATATTTTGTAATATTTTAAAGGGTATTTTATCAAATATTTTAACAATATATTTATTTATATTTATATATTACCAAATTGCTTTTAGCAGAGAAAAATTACTGTTATTTGTTCATTTTGAGTAACTGATTGGGAAACCAATTTGAGACTGTACTAAAAACCGGTGGTTTGGCTTGAGGAGAAACACATAAAAGGCTTAAATTAGTATTTGTACACTTCGTAAAGCTTCTTTTTTGGAAAGAAAATTTTTTTTCCTCCCCTATTAATAAAATTTGGGAAGAGCAGCAAGTATATGTTAAAATTCCCTCGAATAGGAAAACAAGAAAAAAGAAGAAATAATCATGTTTCGAAAAATCATAACTGTAAAAATTAGTGAAAAGAAAATCAGCTGCTAATTTTTAACTAAAGTTGATGTTATTTCATCCTCAAAATCTTTTATTTTTTCCAATTTTGAGTCATGAAAAAAATTCCCCTCACTAAAAACTGTATAACTCAACAATCACATGAAATAATAGAAAGCCAATTAATTACTTTATCAAATAAAAAAACATTCGGTACAAAATAATATTGCCAATTTCTTGTAAGGTCAAACCATGTTTCCCTTTTTTAAACTTTAAATTTTTTTATCTGAAATTTTTAACATGGAATTTTTTTAACAATTGTTCTGGCACAAAAACACACATAATAATTATACAAAAAAACATATCAATTCGTGGCTTAAATTCTGAGTATTATGGATATAAAATTATATGTATCCATATTTTATAGAACTCCATCAGTTAAAAAATAAAAGAAATTCGATTATTTTGAAAGAAAAATTTTAATGTAAAGTTTTTTAATCATTGTCCTAAAACCTAGATAATAATATGCTTCAAAATTTTTACATGGAATAGTTTAAAAATCCTTGGCCCTTTGATATAATTTTTTATAATGTGGCTTTGGATTTTGGTTACTTTCTTAGGAAACAAATTTACAGTGCAATTTTTTTCATTACACATTGTAACTAGAACTTAAAAAAATTAAAACTGTAATTGACAAGGTCGATGCCGATTCCGACTCTTTAAAACCATTTCTTTAAGGGTAGTGGTCGTGTGACATGTCACATCAATTGATTTTCTATGTTAATAAAGAGATGAATTAAAACATTTAAAGAAGGCAGTATATCGAATTTATTGTTATTTATTTTACTACAAAAATATAGCTTTTTTCTCAACATTAAGTCAGAAAAATGATTGGAAGTTTTCGTAGTAAGATTGGTAAGATTGATATGTGACTGATCATCAGAAAAAATTTCCATGCTGTTTACTATGGTGCGCGAAGTCTATAACCACCATTTACTGCGCCACGACGCCAAATTTCACCAAACTCAAAAAATGATTTAATTTGATTTATTATCAATTTTAATTATCAATAACATTGCTTGGAATTTTTCTATGAGATTTGTATCCCTTTACTGTAAATAAAGCTTCTAGACCTGTCAATCCATTTCTACAAACATCCATAAATCTATAAGACCTGTGAGCAAACTTTCAATTTTTTTTTGAGAGAAGCAGAATTCAATGTCAATGGAACAAGTTTTATCACAGTTTTCACGGGTATATTATTTCGCTGCATCCAAATAATTCAATAAAATAAAGTTCACAGTGGAACTTGGGTAAAAAATGACTTTATGACCATAAGATTCAATAGTTTCTTCAATTATATGGATTTTTTACAGCTACACAATACCAAATTTAGAAATGATAATCGTATGCTATCCTAAATTTAGACAAATGTGTTATATACTAAAAAGAAATAGAACTCAACCAATCAAAATTTTGACAAAATCTGTTTGAGTCTCAATCTATGCAATAATAGAGTGATTTTTTAAAAGGATTGACAGAAATGGACTTCTATTATTTCAAAAATCACATGCAAAAATGGTGGTTATGGACTTTGTGCAGAAAATTTTTATAAGCAATGGGAAAACTACTTTGACTTTACAAGTTTTTTTAAAAAGAACCTTTTAACAATCAAATTTTTTATCACGATATGATTGGATAGGTTCTGAAAAAGGATTTTGCAATAGTAAACATCTCACAAAAATTAGTTTTTGGAATACTTATGTATGAGGCTAACAACTCGGAGTGTTATGTAATTTTTTTTATCAACAGTATCATAGTGAAATTCATGTTACCTACACTCTACCCTTAAATGAAATTGAAAAAAAAATATGATCACCCATCTACCCCTTGCGCATATTTTTCTATTCTAATGATGAGCACAGCTGTGAAGTGGGTTGATTACGACCCTGATGAAACTTACGACCTAATGACAGCGTTCCCCAAACTTCAGCTACCTTTGCATGTGAACAACAAAGGCCATACCAAGATTGCTGTTTGCTCGTCGTGCAAAACAGTAAAAAACCATCATTTCCCACCTGTCTTAGCAGCAATACCTGAAGAAATCAAAGCCGTTCCAATGGTGTACTGTAAGCATCTATCTCTGATTCACATGAGCTGTTCGTTGGGACGTGTGTCTGGATCCAACCATTACACAAACTATTGTCATTTGCAAGGCTTCATCGGACTATCAAAGAATAAGCATGCTTTGAATCTGCACTCGGACATGATTGGTGCTTTCCTTGATCAAGATACTGAACCACCGAATTGGTTTCATGAGAGCTTGATGAATGCTAAAACAAAACAACCCAATATTTAAATGATATGACAACAAACAGGAGAGACCGTCCTATATAAGGAAAGGATGTTCACAATTGATTTCAATTTTTTTTATACAGTTTAGAATACTTTTACAAGGGTATTACGTAGCCCATTCTTACAATAAATCATGTGCAAATAATTACACAAATTTGAAGCTTTACACTTTGTTGTTATCATATCTTTTGAATCCCTTTGAATCCCACAACTTTCATAATACGATTTACTCGAAGAAAAAATGTCTGAAATTAAACGTTGCACAGAATGTAAAACCATTAAATCAGCTAAATTTCGTCAACTAAAAGGCAATAAATGGAAAGAAGCTGAGAACAACGACTTAGTAAAGGTAACGTGGACAGAAGGCGTTGTTTTATGTAACGTTTGTTATATGAATTTCGTAGAAAATCCTTTAAAAAGAGGATCTAGGAGAGCAAAAACTACAGATGAGGAAGGAGAAGCGGATGAGGAAGAGGAAGAGGAAGAGGTAGAGGTAAGTGAAAAGATTGATTTTACTAAAGCCATCAAGATGATTGCTAAAATCTTTTATGAAAGAGAATATAATAATAAAGAAGGTCCTATATACGAATTTGATGAAATGCGAAGATTGCTTCAAGAAATAGAACCAAGCTTGAAGGGGTTTTTTGACCAATTATATTTAGCAGCTCGTCCATTTGAACGTAATGAACAAACGATGGACCGTATGAAGAGATTAATGGTGTTCATATGTTATCTTCTTGCTTCATTAAACAATACAAAAATTAATTCTTTTAAGTTTGACCTTGCATTCTATTTAGATTCGGTAGGTACAAGTAATGAAGGCCTAAATACAATGGCGAACCTTGGAGCAACCACAACATCAAGAGCAGTAGATCGTAAAAAGAAGCAAGTTGCAGATGAACATGAAAAATATGTAGAGGATGCACTTACAAAATATTCAAAAAGTGCATTCATGTTGAATGTTGATGATTATCATAACATTCATGTCCAGAGACGACCTGATACTACTACTACATCTTGGGCGGCACATATGGCAACTATTGTAACAAATCCATGTCCTAACATGTTAGCAATACCACGTAATGGGGCATCGAATCCAAAAATCTTTGATGATGAGTTGATTATGAAACATCTTGATAACCGATTTATCACAAATCTTGGTGTCTCTTATAATGATCGCATGCAAGACTATATAGGTAACGAATGTTCTGATGATGAGCTCATGATTAGACTAACATTGCATAGTTACAATGATAGGTTAGTGGAAAAAAAGACCGATCGGCATGTACAGAATACTATCCTCTTTGATTTTGTTGAAAGCAATTTGAAAGGCGTGGAAGATTACACAAAAGCTCTCCAAATCGTACATGATCAAGAACCAATGCAAGCATATCTTTCTAATTACGCAATTCCCATTGTTGCGGATTGGCCTGGTCAGTTTTTCATTCGTAAAGCTATTGTACATCGGTTTCTCAACAACAACAACAACAACAACAACAACAACAACAACGAAACTATTCCTTCATTCGTTACAGCATTTTTACCTATTATGGGTCCTCTTCATGTGTCTTTAAATGGTCGTGAACTCGTATTTAAGGAAAATTCGTTTTTATTTAACGATATTTATAAAGGACTATTTGGAAATCGTAAGAATCTTGGTAAGAAGCCACGGCCATGGCGAATTGATTTAATTCTTCACATCATGCGCATGGCATGGCTTGATATAGATGATATTGTTTATTCTAAGTTTGGTCGTACATGCAAAAACATCGAATTTTTATATTTAACCAATCTTTTGAGCAATTTAATTCCTTTAGTTCTTGACGTTTACGCAGTGCACCATCGAGAAGGTAACTGGTTGGCTTATGAAGAAGCTTGTATGCGTTGCTGGAGTGATCTTTTTCTTCAGTTTGATCGGAGAAATTATAAGCGTGCACCTTTAATGTTTTTTTCTGATATCTTTTATTGGATGGAGACAAATCATCCGATGATTGAGATGGTTACTAATCATCTCGCCTCTTTAAGTGATAGTCCTGTAGAAATTATTCACAGTATTATTCGACGACGTACAGCTAAGTTTTTCACCGCACAACAACTGCAAAAGGAGGCACGTTTTATTTTTCAACATCGAGAGGATAATACCTTTCGGCAACATTTCATAGATTCTGTGAAATATCCATATACACCGAAGCAATTGCATATGCTTTCACGAAAGTGTTCTGTATTGCTTTTAGATGTATTTACGAAGATATATCAAGCACGAAATCAGTATCCTTTGATTACTAAAACTTCATCTAATGGTATTAACTCATACAAATTACCTTCTTTAGTTTACGAAATAACCGATCGTCACCTTCCAAGAGGCTTTGTTACTTCTAAGAAACCATCTACAAACATTTTTTGCGATTACGTATATTGTGATTACAATACTAACTATAATTTGAATAATTGTAGTGTACTTGCGTGTGGACATGGTTATCACAATCATTGTCTACAAAGGTGCCAATCTAAATGTTTGATATGCTTGGACTATCTTCAAGTCGAAGTCAAAAAAAATGTCAACGCGCTAAAAGAAAGTATGACGAAAAGATTAAACGAAAATGAATTTATCGAAAGTAACGAAAATACAGTTGATGATGATCCGGATAGTGTTGAATCAGCAACAGATGATGCAGCAACAATGGAAATTTTATTAGAAAATGCAAAAAAAACATTTTTTGAGTTGTAAATTTTGTTTTATTAATAAATTTGTTTCATATATACATCGTTCATGTTTGTCTTAATCGTATATCTTAAACTGGTCGTGTTTGCATTTCATCGACATTCATTATATTAAGGTTATTTTGGTTATATCGAGAGATATGGTCAAGAGAAGAGTTAGGAAGAGAGTTATTCTTCAACCAAGTCGAAAACTAACCCTTTAAATACATTTTCGAGTAGTACAATTTAATTTATTAGACTATTTCAATGGTTTGTCGCATGGTTGCTTCTAATTTCTTAAATTCGTTAACGAAACAATTGTTGGTGAAGTGATTGTTGACAAAATGAATCAAACCAACATTTATTTTTACATTATCAAATTCACGATTTTAATTGGTCAATCAAC